TAAATCGACTCAGAAAGTGATTCTATGCATATTCTCAAAAGGAACCATGTATATATCTCGATTCCTTTTGCCTGTTACAAACATATGAACAAAGACATAATACCCTATACCACAATGTGGTGAAGGGTATAAAAATGTTGTAAAATAATTGGATTAAAAAAAGTATTTTTAATACCCGATTCTGGATTTTATTCGTGATTTTCTATACGAGGCATAATGATGCCCTGCAGATTATCCGTTCCTTGTGAATTTTATTCACATCGCTTTAAATATATTTATGTATGAATACAAATTTTACATCTTGAGTGCACAATCAAACTCATTAGCAAAGCTTCGAAATAATCCTTCATCCATAAATTATGCCTCTTCGTTTTTTATTATTCCCCTTTTGCCAATTCGAGAGAGAAAAAAAAGAATTGCCACAGCATTGTGATGACATTCACAAAGGTTATGCTTCGCTTCACTCCTAAAAAAGTATCGATCATTCATTATAAATATATCTTGCCTATGGTTCGCTGTTATGTGTGTTATGGAATTCGCAAAAAAAAAACAAGACCAGAAAAACAACAACAAACCATTCGAAACCCAGAACACAAAGGGTTATGTACAGTGCAACATGTTGCCTTGGAATGTTTATGATTTTGGAAAAGTATTTTTTGTATTCGTTATCGAATAACGACAACCACAAGAGTTGGGGAGCTTAGCAACTATTGCATTCCATGATGATCGTCATCGTCATCACCGGCATCATCTCATTATGTATGGTTTATCTTTTTCGCGCCAAAAGCAAGTTGGCATCCAATTTTTTAATGTTTCACTTCGATCCCATATTTGCGAAATGGGAAAGGGAGAATTGTATTATTGAAAATCCGTTGTCGTTGTGTTTGGCGGCTTTATTAACCCTTCTCACTTGGCTTGTCTGCAAGCTTTATTGGATGTGACAATTTAATCAGTTCAATGGGGGAGAGAGATGTTTTTGTCAGAGATAATTTTTAAAGTTTTATAAAAATTTGAATAAACAAAGATTGCGATTTAAATTCTTAATGTGATTGAGAAGAGGCTAAATATAATATGATATGTTTCACAAAATTGAAAACAACCCAAAATACTCCCCCTCCCGAACGTTGTCTTAAATTAAATAAACATTCCAAATTGCCAAACTACTTTGCAGTCATCGTATGTAACGGATATATGCGATGCGATAAAATTCGAAAACTTGGACTAGCAAACTAGTGCCACCGACTACCTTTACTGATTACGAAAAATGTAAATTAAGCTCCAAGAGATTGTCGCAATTCTGTACATACATTATAACCATATTATGATCAGTTGATCATTAACCTTGACTTCATCGCCAACCTAGATTACAATTTTAAGAGCCTAGATGCTCCTAAATTGAGACACTTATTCAACATTATTCCGAATATTTGTTCTGATGTATTTATACCCTTCATCAGAATGTGTTACGAGGGCAGTTCGGAAACTTCTTAGCCTATCGTGCAAATCGAAGGATATATAGGGACTTTGGCACACCATTTACATTATGTTGTTTTGTGTAACTTAAATGGCCTGTTTGGCTCTGTTACTATGCATAATAAATTAAATTATTGTACTTTGTTTACAATTTAACATGGACAGACAGACAGACATGCATAAATCGACTTAAAAAGTGATTCTATGCATATTCTCAAAAAGAACCATGTATCTATCTCGTTTCCATTTGCATGTTACAAACATATGCACAAAGACATAATACCCTGTACCACAGTTTGGAGAAGGGTATAAAAATCCAGGTTCAATAATTGTGTCTACGCTTTATTTGACTACGATAACCCTATAATATCACCACTTGATTGGTATTTATTTGCATACGTTTTAAAATTATAGGGGAGAGGGGGCACATTTTGAACGGGGGCACCTTTGAACAGCGCTCATAAAATCTTGGTTTATATTTTTTCCGACCCGCTACCACATTTTTGTATATGGCAATCCTGTTCTTTATCTGCGTAAACCACTTTGGCTAGCTTTTTCAGTTGTCGACAAATTGTACATGGGTGACCATGTTTTCGCAGTGTAATTGTAAACATTTATTCTTTTGGTTGTAAGGGCGCAGGAAGAATTCTGTGAAATTTTTCTTTCGTTAAACCAATTTTTCGCATTCCAATAATCATTCCAAACATAACTAATGTAATTTCTTTTATATGTATTTATTTCAAAAAAAGTTTTTATACATTTCCGTAAAATGTCACGGGTGGGGCACCTTTGAACTTGCCCATTAAATTTGAGTAAAAGCGGAGTTTTTAACTTTTGGCTTCGATTTCTCTCAAATTTTCAAATGGGATAATAAGACTACGAAATTAACTGTATTTTTCACCATATTAATTTTTTTATGTCATTTTATGTTTGTATATGTTTGTATATATTTTTTAATAAATAAATGCATTTCTGATATGTTTGAATAAAATACATTTATATTTTAACATAAACACGGTAAAAAACCAAGCCGTTCAAAAATGTCAAGCCTATATGTATATTCATTGTAAAGGTTACATATGTACCTATTAGTTAAAATTTATAAGAAATCAAAAATTATAAAATAAATCAAAAATTATAAAATAAATCAAAAATTATAAAATGATGAGGCTTGAAAGAAAAAAGTGTTCAAAGGTGCCCCACTCTCCCCTATCTATTGTAGTAAGCGGCTTCGTAGACCTGGTGTTCGCAAGTAAACTTCTTGATTGGCGAATGCATTTTTTTTTTTTTTTTTGATTTTTGAAGGGTGGTTTAAAAAAGTCGGGGTGCAAAAATAGGTTTTACACTCTATTTGTTTCGATTACAACAGCCTTATGATATCACAATTTTATGGGCAGGTATTTGCATAAGCTTTAAATTCACACCGTTTGTACCCACATTGCTTATTGAAATTTAAAGGGTCCGAGCGAAACTTTGGAGACCTATATTGCAGGATATACAGATTTCCACAAGAAACACAGAAAACCGTCGTAGTCATGGGGCTCTCATGACCACATATGATAAAAATTTCAACGTTTTCCGCGACCGGTCCTTAGACTAGACTTAACCTGGAAAAAATTTGGGAACAACTGTCGTTGGGTAAAAACGATCAGATTTTTCTGAAGTTTTTTTTTCAGAGGTAGGTATTTTTACCCTAATTATGGGAATATCTTTTTTTCTTGGGGGACGTATCCGGTTACCCGGTTATTTGACCTGGAAATTCAGGTACGGGTACCCGGTTATACAGTAGACCCGGATGTAAGAACATCTTATATAAGAAAAACACGGATATAAGAAAATGTTTCACCAATAAATGAAATCAGTTTGTTATATAAAATACATTCATATAAGAAAAACCCGCTTATAAGAACAAATTTCTCGATTTTTTGATGTTCTTATATCCGTGGTCTAGAGTATCCGGTTATACGGATCCGGTTAAAATAAGATGGATATCATTTTAAAGGTTATAAAAATACCTTTCCATAGAGTGGTGGGTTTTGGACCCCGATTTAATTGAAAACCCCCTAAATGTCGAACTTGGGTCCATTTCTCCAATTCTGACTCAAATTATAGACCACGATTTGCCCTTTCCAAAATGGTGCGACATGTGGTTTTTGATCCACAACAGATACAGCCACATGTCGCATCATTTTGGAAAGTTCAAATTGTGATCTATAATTTGTGTCAGAATTAGAGAGGGACTATAATGGACCCAAGTTGACTTTTAGGGGGTTTTCAATTAAATTGGGGTCCAAAACCCACCACTCAATGGAAAGGTATTTTTATAACCTTTAAAATCGGGGTCCAAAACCCAGTTTTTTGACTGTATCTCCAAAATGGTTGAGATAACCCCATCATATCACCACTCAATGGAAAAGATCCGTAGAACCGGATATAACCGGGTACCCGTATCCAAACTTCCGGTCAAATAACCAGGTAACCGGTTACGTCCCCCAAGAAAAAAAGATATCCCCATAATTAGGGTAAAATACCTACCTCTGGAAAAAAAATTGAAAAATCTGATCGTTTATACTAAACTAGAGTTGTTCCAAGATTTGACATGGTCAGACTGCTAGCAGTTAATTACGACACCATAGACAACGTTTCAAAATGAAGACCTGACCATGGATTATTAAAATTGGTCCTCACCAAATCACTCGACCCTTACCAATTTTTGTCACCTCATAGATATACAAATTTCCACTCATTGCAGTTGCTTTCAGAACCCAAAGGGACGTCTAACAAATTTTACTAATCCGACATTAAGTACACACACGTGTTGTTTACTTGTACAGTTATTCGATTTTTTTTCAAGCTCCGTTATTTTTGTTTTTCTTTGTTCACCATTATCATCTTCTCGGGAGGAGGGGCATGACATTGTCAATCAAATTTTAATTCTCAATTAAATTCAAATCAAAATATGCAAAGATTTCGTTTCTTATTTAAAATCGAATTAAATTGTATTTTTGTTATCAGCACACTTGTCGTCTGCCTACGAATTGTTTTTGCAAATGTTTAGCAGGAGATGTCTACAATCTCACACACATACACACATCATTATGACCTGCCTTTAATGGTTGCAATGAACAAAAAATATTCTCCAATTCGTATCAAATGGGAATTTAAATTTCCCCTGAACATAATTCGAAAATATGGTTGCAACTTTTTTTTAGAATTGCACTATTTCACTGCCTTGATGTAATAAAGGTTCCTTTACATTTACACGTCTTCTTTTTTTTTAGTTTTTCTCTAAAAATGCCAGACTGTCTGGCAGGGTTGGCTATTACACTGTCTGGTCGATATAAATCAAGGTGTTTTTTTGCCCCCCTTGTAACAGGGTGTGTGGACAATGTGATTGGTTTTTGCAATAGGATACACAATTTGTCTGAGTCCAACAACAACAAAAAAACCGTTATAGAACTTGGAAGGATATTCTGGAAATTTATCACTTTTTTTAATTTAGATAATTTTTTTCTATTTGGACTTACTTGATTTTGTACATTTATCAGGAGTTGGCCACAGCACGTTCTTAACAGTAAATTGAACAGCAGGAATATGACAAAATGTAGTTTTTGCAAAGACGCCAGACGAAACGCAAATGTTTTACTTCCACCACCACCGGTACCACCTCCAACGCCATCAGCAGTAGAATAACGTTGTCTGACTTTGTTGCCGGCAAACAATGATGACGGCGGCGACAACAATGATGTTAGCAGGGGAGCTGCAAACAATGACGACAACAACCACGAAAATCCATGTCGCCAACAGCATTTGGACGCGACACTATTGTTGTTATTGTTGGCCGTCGAAAAAGCTGTCGCAGCAGTAGAGGTGGTAATGGTGGCGATGTTACGTTGTTGCTGTTGTTGATGATTTTGTGGTGGCTGATGATAATGATGGTGGTGATGATGGCTACGACAACAACAATAACATGGTCTCAGTGGATAAGGATGCTGGTGTTCTTGTTGTTGTTGGTCTTGATTTAATCCATGGTTGGCGGCATTGATATTCTGCAACGTTTTCGTTTTTGCTGCTCGTGTTTTGGTCGTTATCGTCGCCTCTGTCACCGTCGACGCCTGCATTTGCAGCAGACAGTTTACTGGCGCTGCGGTTTTGTCATACGGAGAGGAGAAGCATTGTTGTATTGGTGGTATTAAAGACATTTTATCATTGCACATGAAACAAAAACAAAAATGAGCAACAAAACAGTTATTCTCGTTCTCTCCGATGTACACTCTTTTGGCACTTATTAAGCACTACTTGGAATTATTGAAACAAATTTAATAATAAATTATTTAACCACACACACAATGACAGACTTTCTTTGTTATCATCTCATTTATAATAAATTCTCTGCTTTAATCTTCATTTCTTTGTTATCATCTCATTTGTAATAAATTCTCTGCTTTGAATTCCAATTGGAATAATTTTTTCACAAGACAGAGCTCTGTTTTTGCACGAAACAAAGCCAGACAAATCAAATCAGAAACTCATAAAGACAGAACACACACAAAATATGAGCGTGAGCGCAGCCACACGGAACCGAAACAACACGTCTAATAAATTCCGTTTTGCTTTTTGTTATTATCACTTGTTATTTTTGTGTTGTGTGTTTACTTTTCATTTCTATTTTGATATTTATTATCACAAAATGGAATCATAAGAAGCAGCAATAGGAAATTCCAGCAAGCCTTCTCACTCACACACAACACAACAACTATGGCTTGACTGAAAAATTTCCAATTAGATTTTTTCCTCGTACACACTAATCGCACTTCTTTCTTGTTGTTATTATTCCAAATATTAAATCGCATCAAATTGCACGACTTTTCTCATTCACAAGGCGTCAAACACTATTTTTTTATTTATAAAATTTCGATTTTTATTCCGTATAATATCCGTGAAATCATCCATTCGCTTTGAATTTCTTCGTTATTCTGTCAGCTGTCAGTTGATATTTTCTTAATGTCGTGAATAATGTTGTTTTGCCTTTTTTGTTTTCTTGTCATACGCCATACGACAGAGAACGCTCGCTCACTCTCTCTCTCTGGAATGAAATCATGCTGTCATATGTTTGAGGGCGGTTCACATGCTGCTATTGGTGGGTTGATGTTATTTAAAGGATGTTCAGCATGTTATTTATGTTTATTGAATCTACGTTTGATGACCACACCAGTTGAGGTTTCTTCCTTTTAGGTGATTGAACAAGAGCGCGTTTAGACTAAGAAATTCACTCGATTTCAAATGTCAATTCCGTTGCGTATACGTCACCTTAATCTTGTTCACAAATCCAGAGGATTATGTATGACGTAAAAGCCATGGGATTGACATTTGAGATCGTGTGGATTTCGTAAATCTGAACGCAGAAATTTTGTATAGAATCACATAAGAATATTTCAAAAACAGAAAATACTGATCTAATTATCACTGCCCCATAATATTCATTTTACGAAAGAATTTGGATGGAATTATTAGTTCTTATATCGAGTTCACTACAACAGTAATAAAAAACCAGTGAGCGGAGCAGTATAGTCGGACGGGGCCGACCATATGATACCCTACACAACTCCGACGAAAACCTAACTTTCTATGGTTCTATATTCAGAGCTTGGGCAATATTTCGCGATATTTGCGCCCTATAGAACGACTAGATGTCAACAAATATTTCTAAAATTCAGCAGACGAGGTCTGTACTTGTCCAGATTCTCTGTACCGTGGAAAAACCGACAAAAATTAAGTATTTGGTCCAATTCATCCCCTAAATATTAACCGATCTTCATTGGGCCGAACCCATCCTACATGCAAAATTTCGTGAAGATTGGTCCATAACTGTCGTGTTTATAAATTATAATGGACGGACGGATGGACACACATGTCTAGATCGACTCAGCTAGTCGAGATACGACGATCGGTATACTTAAAGGTCCAATATTTCGCGGCGTTACAAACTCTTGGGGCTGCACAAAGCTATAATACCCTGACAACATATTTGTGTAGGTATAAATACTCAAGACTGGATTTTGATCTAATGCATATACTTGTATATAATGCTGATCAACGTATTTGGAAGCAGTTTTGGGATTTCAGATCTAAAAATACAATTCTGTGATCTCTAGTTCATAATAAAGAGATCGTTCATATTACCTCACTCAGAAAATATTACATATTCCGCCTATGATGCCCATCTTCGTCCTCAGTTCGATGTTCAAAACTTGGAGCACGTTTACACTCTAAATCCACGCGATTTCAAATGTCAATTCCTTAAGCGGTGTACACACTATCATTTTTGACTGTCAACTTTTTTATCGATTACTGACTGTCCAACAACCATAAAGCGGTGTACACACTATCATTTTTGACTGTCGACTTTTTTATCGATTACTGACTGTCCAACAACCATAAATATTTTTGTGGTTGCCTGATGAATGACAAACATGTGAGGCCACACTATCAAACAAGCAAAATTTGGGCAAGAGTGCCATTCAAAAATTATAGTGTGTACACCGCATAAATATTTTTGTGGTTGCCTGATGAATGACAAACATGTGAGGCCACACTATCAAACAAGCAAAATTTGGGCAAGAGTGCCATTCAAAAATGCTAGTGTGTATACCGCATTAGGGTATACGTCACCTTAATCATTGCTTTCGTAATGACGATTGTCAGTTCAATATGCTGCGTGACTCTAGGTTTAGGTGATCGGGTACCCTATATGATAGGAAAACAAAAACTGATTCGATTCCAACCTCAGAGGTCCTCGCACCGAGTTTTTGCAGGCCCTTCCTCTAGATCCGAATACATCCGTGACTTCCTTTTTTAAAGCTGGAGATCTCTCTGTAAGTCTGCTTTTCCACAGGCAAATTTTTATTTGGCAAATACTGAGTTTGTAGGCGAGAGGGGTGCGAGGAAGAACAACAAAAATTTGCCTATTCAGAATTTGCCGTACACGCAAATTCTGCTTTGCTCTGTTCGTTGAAAACAATTTTGTTGACATTTCCTTTTGAACCTATTCGCTTTACTGACACACAGCCGGCTTTTGTTTACAAACCTGTTGCTTTAATTTGTGCAAGTGAAATTTAATTTTTAATTTTTGCAATTTATATAATAAAATATATAAAAAATAAATAAAATATTAAAAAAATCTTTAAAATGCAAACACTTTTGACTTGTATTTTCTTTCTTTTGTATTTTGATTCGCAAATTTGGCAAAGAAAAATTTGCTAATGGAAAAGCAAGCGAAAATTTCAAAAGAAAAAACAAAAAATAAAAATCTGCCTGTGGAAAAGCAGACTAAAAATCTCGAAAGAAATCTAATAGTAGGTTTACATTGTACTGATTCGATTCCAACCTCAGAGGTCCTCGCACCGAGTTTTTGAAGGTCCTTCCCTATAGATCCAAATACATCCGTGTCTTCCTTTGCAATTTTTGAAGCTGGAGATCTCTCCGTAAAACCTCTCGAGAGAAGCCTAATAGTAGGTTTACATTGTTCCGGATTAAAATAACCCAGTGGGTTTCAATTGTCAATTCCATTGCTTATTTGTCAAATAAATCCCTGCAGAAAGATCTAATGTAAATACCATTTAAGATAGGACTAGTTATAAGAGATTATTATCATATCTCTGCCCGGTTTCCTTACTGTTTGCAGGCCTTTCGTCTAGACACGTTCTTCCTTCCTCATTGGAATAACTTTTCTCTCTTTTTCTCTTCTGTTCCCCCTTCCCCTCACTAAATAAATTTGGCCGATTATAAAAAGTGGCGGAAATTATAATTACCCTCTCGATTACATCAGTTTTTACTGTAAATCACTATTTTATAAGTTTTACCATGAACAAGAAAGATAACTAAGCTGTTATTATATGATGTGAACTCCCTTATATAACTGCCAAAATAAAAGCCACTGCCAATGATAAATAACGCCGTTCCCTCAAAGAAAACAACAGCGGCGCAACACTTTCACATATCGTCAACAGCTGATTCAATCACATTGACCGGCTGAGGCAAAACGTCAAAAATAAAAGGAATTATCCAACCGATTTCTTTCGAAACGAGTTTTTTGTATTAAAATAATAACAGAATCGAGTCTCTATGATTTCGACAACACTCGCTTTGAGGCATCATTCGGCCAAAGTCAATAAATTATGCTGTCAATTGGAGAGGCCGAAATGTTTGAAGAATTTAACAACGACAACAGCTACAGCAGCAGTACGACACAGTTCCAACGATTCGAGAAGGAGTAAGCAGTTGAAAAGGCCACTCGTAGAGAATAATAAAAATGCTCTGCACCCAGCACAACCAATTATGGTGGTACGTTCCTTTAGCAGTGCTAAGGATGCCGCCCCCGCCAAGGGCAACGAAAAACGACCACCAACATCGACTGATTTGGATCATGCCTACGGTGTGTTGAGAGAAACTTTACCAAAGCTATTCATACAGCCTCTAGACTATTCCATTTATGATCCCAATTTGGAATTTCAAAACAACATAACGGGTAAACACACCGTCGGCCTCTATCATTATGTCAAACAGATAGCTCTGTTGCGTACTGTGGGCCATCTAAAGTATGCCTATGTTAAGTTTGAAGTATTAAAGATTACAAAACACCCGGAGGATTTCACCATTAAGATACGCTGGCGTGTACGCGGTATTTCCGGCCTAAAGGTTATGTTGAACTTTTGGAAATATAAGCTGTGGGATATTAAGGGCATATTCGAAAATCAGGAGGCCTGGTATGATGGTTTCTCCATTCTGTATTTGGGAGACAATGGCCTGATCTATAAACACATTGTGGACAAAGTTATGCCTGACCAGAATACAGAGTTGGATGAAAGACCCAGCAATGTTGTGGAACCCAGTGGTATGGCTGTATCATCGAAAATTGGTTATTCGGCAAATGCTAAGGTGGCAGCAACCGCTGCGGCCTTGGCATCGGTTAAAGCGAAAAAGAAGTAAAATACTACCTACAGTAGTAGGAGCAGAAGCAGCATCAGTTGTGTGTAAATTTTGTTATGTTGTTCTATTTCTCACTGCTATTATTATATAGTGTTTAATATATATAAGTATGCTTTTCAAGTATATATACTAGATGTGAACAAAATGCGTGCATTCTTTATTTAATTCTTTTTTTTCAAATTAAATTATTTAAAAGGAAAAAAACTGAACAAAAATAAATTGAAGTGTTTTGTAAAGTGTGGGTGGGTTTGGGATTCGGAACAGGGTCAAACTAAGTAAACCGATTTCATAATTTTTTAAATATTTAATTTAATTTTGAACCCATTGGATTTAATTTTCAAGACCTTTGGACTCTATACAGACCAATTGGTCAATATAAAGTCCTTTGGTCTCTGTACAGACCAATTGGTCTATATAAAGACCTTTGGTCTCCATTGGCCTTTATAAAGGCCCATGGTCTCTATACCGGCCAATTGGCCTTTATAAAGACCTAAGGTCTCTATACCGGCCAATTGGCCTTTATAAAGACCTAAGGTCTCTATACCGGCCAATTGGCCTTTATAAAGACCTAAGGTCTCTATACCGGCCAATTGGCCTTTATAAAGACCTAAGGTCTCTATACCGGCCAATTGGCCTTTATAAAGACCTATGGTCTCTATACCGGCCAATTGGCCTTTATAAAGACCTATGGTCTCTATACCGGCCAATTGGCCTTTATAAAGACCTGTGGTCTCCATACCGGCCAATTGGTCTATATAAAGACCTGAGGTCTCTATACCGGCCAATAGGCCTTTATAAAGACCTGTGGTCTCTATACCGGCCAATAGGCCTTTATAAAGACCTGTGGTCTCTATACCGACCAATTGGTCTATATAAAGACCTGTGGTCTCTATTCAGACCAATTGGTCTATGTAAAGACCTGTGGTCTATATACCGGCCAATTGGCCTTTATAAAGACCTGTGGTCTTTATACCCCCCAATTGGCCTTTATTAACACCTGTGGTCTCTATACCGGACAAAGACCTTTGGTCTCTATACCGGCCAATTGGTCTATATAATGACCTTTTGAGGAAGGTTGTTATAAAATGTAGCTTTTGTGATTCTTAGTGTTTGTAGAGTATCAATAGAGTAGATCTAGGTTTTGGTAATTTTTGTAGAACGCTGCCTCACGTTCTGTGTTGTGAGCTACAACAACAAAGAACAAAAAACATTATCACTATTTGCAGGTGGTATTTCCCCTCTCCACAAAAAATACATAATTGCATTTTAAAGGGATTTTTTTTTCAATTCTGCAATGCTTGGGCTTTTTGAATACGTGTTCAAACAATCAATGAAAAAAAGAAATTCCCCTATGGCTGGACAACAATCAAGATATGCGTGTGTATATATAAAACCATCTTTTGCACAAAATATTAAAATCAGTCTCAAGTGTACATCCAAAAAGAGAAGCTTACATACAAAAAATATGAAATTTTTGTGGATTTTCGTTGTCATCGTTGTTTGTTGTGTGCAACTTAACCTTGTCGCATCACATCCTCATGCTGATGAAGAATTACAAAATTCCTTGGACTTGGAATTAGTTTCGGGAAATAATAATGTCGCAGATACATCGGCCGGAGGATTGTATCGTCAAAAACGTTTAACCTGCAGCATTGGAAGTTTTGCCTGCTCGGCACACTGCCGTTTGCGAGGACGTAATGGTGGTTATTGCAGCCGCGGCATTTGCAGATGTAAATAAATAAATTTTGTATGGATTAATATTAAAAAAATAGTTAAAATGTTTGTATTTATAATTTTTAATAAAAAAATATATTGGAGCTTTGCTTTAGAAAATAAAATATTTGTTTTTATTTTAATAAGAAAGTAAAAAACGTCGGTATGTCCGAATAATTTGTAACCTTTAATTGATACTTTTGGAAATATGATTTTTTAAATTGTTGAATAACAAGTAGAAACCCTCAGTTTGGACAATTGTTCTAGGACCTTGAAAATACCGAAAGTGTCGAGCGACCTTTGTAAGGATAAGCTGAAACATGAAAATATTTTTAAAGGTCTCGGAATGCAGTCATTTCGTAATCCACAAAATAGTGGAAATATAAAAGTAAGACCGATATAGCTAAATTTATGGCGATTCGAAAAAGTTAAGTTCGGCGTTGCAGAACTTTTTGTGCCCTCCACCATGTAGTGAGCATTCGAAATGGGGATTATGACGTATGCATCTGAAAAAATTCTAGAAAATTAAATATACTGACAAAATTAAGAACCGTCTTTGTATGGGTAATTTTTAAAAGACGTGGATCTTTACTGACAAGTTTCTAGCAAGAAGTGTTATGTTATTCATCATGAATACGAAATTCAAATTAAAACCGAATTCGGGAGAAAAAAAGAGGCTATTAAAATGGTTTAAAATTGAGCGGGATTTGTATATGTCTTCATGTCAAAACACGAAGCTATATCGAATATTTTTTTGCAAAGAAGCATTCTTCCATCCGCTGCTTTATATCAAAAATTGTCACTTCGGCTAAGTTTGAAATCATGGTAGAATTATATAGTCAGCTGATTAAACAAAACATACAAATTATCAAGAAATTGCATTTATTTTTATATCCTCAAAATAAAATTGAAAAACATGAATGAAATTTATATTTCTATCGCATTCTTCTAATTGAGTCATTGCCAGTTATACAGTGCTGATCAAAATATTTGCAACCAAGTCATCTGTGGAACAAAACCGGTAATTTTATTGAAATTAATTTTTTAAATGCAAAAATATTCTTTATTCAGTTTAAGTATAAGGTTTACAAAAATAAAATTTCATATCAAGAAGAATTAGTCGTAAATTTATAAAATAAAAAACAAAACATTTGCAACTTATTGACATATAGTATTATTGACATATTTAAAAAAATCAATTTTTTGTTAGTAATGATATCGATTACTAACAAAAAATTGAAACCACGCAGTTTAATGAATTCTGCACATATTATTGGCATGGAGTCGATTGATCAGTTGATCAACTATGTCGTTTGGAAGTTTATTCCTCTGATCAATCAGGGCAACATAGAAATCCTATTTTTTAAAGTGGATTTCCAATTTTTCGTTATGCAATTTCCCAAAGGTTGTCTAGGAGATTTAGTTCAGGTGACTACCAACATTTTTCATTGGATATCCAATGTTTTATCATAGTAGACGTGTGCTTTAGGTCATTATCGCATTGAATCACCCACGAAAGAGGCATATTCCAAGACCCATAAAGCAACATTACGACAGATAAAATATTTTGGTAATTTTCAATAAAACTGCATATACATTAAAACTTTTTACCGGGTTAACCTAATTTTGAAGGTTTTTTCGACATATATGCAAAGGAATTGACAATTGAAACCCACTGGATAAACGAAATCCGGTTAAATATAAACGTACTATAAAATTGCTACGTTTTTCTTTATTAACGTTATTAGAGTCTATTTTTAGCTGATATTCTTTAAATAGTTATAAAACTCTCGTAATATTACTATAGACAAGGAAAGAATAGAAAGTGTGTTATGCAGTTGCAAATGTTTTGAGCAGGCCAACAAATGTTTATTTTTTTCTTCGAAAATAACAACAAACTATTAAAATTTATTATTTTTCCAATATATAAACATAAAATTATAAAACCCTCCAAATCTTAGTTTTGCCTCATTTTATTGCACGGCTGTTCTTGTTGCAAATGTTTTGAGCAGCACTGCATATCATGATATGGTATGCCATGTTATATATGTAACACAAATGAAAACGCTGGAAATTACGAATTAATCTATGAAGAAAGATTTACTGCTTCATACAATCCCAGTAAATAAACTAATTAAATTGGATACGTTAGGATATTTAATAATGAACCCCATTTTCCAGTTGATTCATTCTTAAAAACATAATTTGTTATATGCTTATAGACTCAAGTATTACTGCGAAATCAAATTAGCTGATATGTTTTATTTAATTCATTTTTATATAAATTATATATGAATACTAAATGTAAATTATTATTACAAAAATTCTATATTGAATATATATTTTTTTTTAATTTTTATGCTGCAGAAGAATATAAATTTAATCCAACAGTCATTTCATTAATGCCACTTTGCTTCATTTATTCATTTTTTACCAATAGACAATATGGCAACACCCCATTTTCGTAAACATCTGTTTTGCGTTTGTCATTCCGATTCGAACATTCAAGTGACGTGTACTTTGACAGCTGGCATAAATTCCAAGTTTATTTTATTTTCTTTTTCAATCAAAAAGATGTTTTCATTCCAATAGAAAATAAAAAATAATTAAATTACTAACAATATTGCCAATAAACTAAGAAGCTAAGAACTGAAGAGCAAAGAAGAAAACAAAGGCTCCACAATATGCTGACATTAAGAGATCGTCAAATAAGTATGTAGTCAAGGCAAGGTGGATATTGGAGTAATGGAATAATATAGACAGACAGTCGAGTCATCAGAAAATTGCTTATTACAAAAATGAGAGGAAAATAATGCGGTACAGGGTCATAGGATGCTACATACTTAGTACATACATAGTTGATGTTATAACTTAAAGCTATCGTTGGATTAAATTTCGGAACGAAAGTTGACGAAAGATGCAAAATAATATATTGAAATGTGAACAAGTCAGCTTAAGATCCGGCCACCGATCATTTTGAATTATGTGGCCCATAATCCCAGACCAGTTCACAAACATTTCCTGTGGAAATGTATTAATATCCCCGAACGAAACCCTACGTTCTATTTGTAGCAATATGGACTTCAAAAGGGTCCAAAATGATACCATTCCTCGGTGTTAAAATTAATAAGGAGACACAAAACTATATTGGAAAAAGTGAACAAGTCAGGTTAAGAGCCGGTTGTCGATCATTTTGAATATTTCATTGGCCCCTAATGCTCAATAAAACTCCTAATGCTTAATGATGAAATTTTTTGCTACTTGTACTAGAAATTATGTCTTCCATATCCTTCTTTTAAAATTGTCATCAAAAATAACACAGATTTAATTAAAATATATACTTTCTATTCCATTCCAGATGCTATTAAGCAAATGCTTAATTTAAATGCCCAACAGCCTAAAGTTTTGGCTGCCGAACCGGTATGGAAAATCCTCATATACGATCGTGTTGGTCAAGATATTATTTCACCCATTATTTCAATTAAAGAACTAAGGGAATTGGGCGTAACGCTGCATGTGTAAGTAATCCGCAACAGAATACTGAATTTCTAATAAAATCTCTTTCCCCCTCTCCAAATTTCAGACAATTACATTCTGATCGTGATTCCATACCCGATGTACCGGCCATCTATTTCTGTATGCCGACAGAAGAGAATTTAGATCGTATACAACAAGATTTTCAAAATGGTCTTTACGATATTTATCATTTGAATTTCTTGGCACCAATATCCCGACAGAAAATCGAAGATTTAGCAGCGAGTGCATTACAGGCCGGCTGTGTTGCCAATATACATCGAGTATATGATCAATATGTAAATTTCATCAGTCTCGAAGATGATTTCTTTATATTGAAACATCAAAAATCGGATCAGCTATCATATTATTCCATAAATCGTGCCAATACACGTGATGATGAAATGGAGGCGCTCATGGATTCAATTGTCGATTCACTTTTTGCTGTTTTTGTAACACTGGGCAATGTACCGATAATACGTTGTCCCCGTAATACGGCAGCTGAAATGGTTGCCCGAAAATTGGAAAAGAAATTGCGTGAAAATCTCTGGGATGCCCGTTCAAATCTTTTCCACATGGATGCCACACAGGCTGGCGGTGGGGTGTTTAGTTTTCAACGACCTGTTTTGCTGTTACTCGATCGTAATATGGATCTTGCAACACCGCTGCATCATACATGGTCATATCAGGCTTTGGTACATGATGTGCTGGAGTTGGGTTTGAATTTGGTCTACGTTGAAGATGATCAACCGGCTGCTGGTGAGTAGAGGGATAAATGATATATTAATTCTGGAATGTATTTGGAATACTAAATGAGGCCAAAGAACAAAAGGTTTTTATAATGAAGGCCAAAAGGTTTTCATAATGAAGGCCATAAGGTCTTCATATAATGAGGACGTCATACCCTCACAAAAATAAGTCCTTAAAGTAAACACAAAAAGCATGAGGTCTTCATGTAGGAGACCGTAAGACTTTCATATGGAAGACCATTAGAATACTATAAATCCTTTGTTTTTATGGTTTTTATATAGACGATCATAAGCTCTTCATATACAAGATCATAAAGACGTCATATGGAGGACCATAACATCTTCATATGGAGGACCATAATGTCATCATAAAGACCATTACATAAAGACCATGAGTTTTTTGTATAAAATACCATGAAGCCCATATATTTATACCCTTATATAGCTCCCATATATAGTTTCGTCCGATTTTATGTAAATGGTGCACCAAACTCCCAATATAGGTCCGATTGAGACAAAATTTTGCACAGCGTACTGAATTAAGTCCAGTTTGATGTCTGGGAAATTTTATTTTATTTTTATTTGGACGAAATTTGACATGGCGTACTGAAATAAGTCTAGAATGATGTGTGTTAAGTTTCGTGAAAATCGGTTCAGATTTAGATATAGCCCTCAAATATATATATATATATATGGGCAATATTGCCAATTTTTTAATATTCCATTTTCAAAAAATCAGTTTTTTTGTTTTTGTGGCACATCAATGATTTTTGGTACACATATAGAGAAAATGTTCTGACTCCGAAACCGTTCGCGATCAAATTTGTGGTTGATGCGCGCAAAAGTTATCGAGGTTTTAATTTTGGGCATAGGAAAAAAATCTTAAAATTACGCCGTTTATTATACTGACCAAAAACGTTGATATATATCTTCCTCCGTAAAATAAGAATATGAATATATTATAATAATCACGATAAAGTTGCACATATTCGCGAAATATGAGAAAAATAAAAAAAATATAGCAGATTACACCAATATTTTTATTATATTAATGACATATACACACCTAAAAATTAATTTAAAATATCTACATATTCTATACACCATGGTGCATCAAATGATATCAAAATCACACAAGTCCGTGTAGCGGTTTCTAAATCAAAGCGACAACAAAACAAGATATTGAGGAAAAATATTTGTTTTTGGTTCGAAAAAATAATGTCATCATATTTATTTTTTTAATTGTATACAAGAAATTTCAGAAAAAAATGTTTGGGTTATTCTGCTATTTTACCCGAATTTCGCCGAAAAATTGACATATATAATAATAATCACTTTTTGTGTATAAGTATACGCCTTGCGGATTATATCAAGACCCTTCCGATAAATCTTAGAATTCTATAAATAGGAATAAATCTTAAAATAAAATAATATTATGAAATATACATTTTAAATTGCGTGTAAACCGCGTAATTCTCAAAATCATTTGATGCGCATGCGGTTCCCAGGAAGTACTGAAGTTTATCTTCCAATCCATACATATTTTGCGAAATTTCATTTGATGGCTAAGATGTGCCACACGTTGCATTGAAGTACCCAAAAAATCGTAAAACGCGAATAATTTCCGAAAACTCCATATGCCATTAACGCGCATCCGATTTCGGTGTGCTCCCTAAAAAAATACATCGATCTATACCGATTTCAATGTGGTCCATTAAGAACCATGAATGTGCCAGCTCACACTATTTTTGAGATAAATTGCGTCTAAATCGCGTAATTCTCAAAATCATTTGATGCGCATGCGGTTTCCAGGAAGTACTGAAGTTTATCTTCCAATCCATATATATTTTGCAAAATTTCATTTGACGGCTAAAATGTGCCGCACGCTACACTGAAGTACCCAAAAAATCGTAAAACGCGAATAATTTCCGAAAACTCCATATGCCATTAACGCGCATCCGATTTCGGTGTGCACCCTAAAAAATACATCGATCTATACCGATTTCAATGTGGTTCATTAAGAACCATGGATGTGCCAGCTCACACTATTTTTGAGATAAATTGGGTACATCTCTCTCGGCTGAAGTTTTTAAAGTTCTCTTTTCAAAAATGATCAAAATCCGTATGAGGTCATTTATTGAAGCGGAAATGATCCACAGAAAAAGCAAATAAATCCGCGATATTTTCAAAAACATTTTTTGCCAAATTTCGTGTTTTTGGAAGGCCAGTTCCCGCCGTTCTAGTAGATGGATTTTCACGAAGAAGATTTTATATCATCCGAAACGTAAAAAACCTTATTGATCGCGGGTACCCATATCATTCAGTTTACAGATCTAAAAATTTGGCACGAAAAATAGGTTTTTTAGAACTTTGATCGCACAAAATTCGCAGCTTCGGATGAGTATTACTCTGAAGCTGTGCATACTACATACACAAAATACATATCAAATTACGCAGATTCGCGACTACAATAATATTATAATCGATTTTTATAAATTCCTGTTTGCGTATTAAAGCTAGAAGTAAAATTAAAAAAACACTCAAAATCGAGCTTCAAAATGTCAGCATTATTTAAAGGTAGATGCAGTTAAAATTTTGAAAAATGATACATAAGGGGCGTAGTCCCCATTTTGTTGGCTTCTAGTTTTATTTTGACACGAAGACCGTGCAATGAGTGGCTTAGTCACAAATCGATAGAGAACATAAAAAACTGGTTCGCCTCAACCTGTTTTTACACATTTTTTTACTTTAAAGTAGACACAGCTTCCACCAAAATAAAGGTTGGGGGTCAATATCATGAACAGTTTGCAACGACAGATCAATTAACCCAAAACTATTCACTTTTTTTCATATACTTAAGTAGTTCCCGAGTTATAAAGTGGTGAACCTCCGCTTCAGCTATGTTAAATAATTGGCAATATTGCCCATATATATATATATATATATATATAAATTGATTGGCACAACGTACTAAAATTAGTATTTCATCGTCGTCGAAACGACGTAATATTAACGTCCTGGAAGGATTCACTTAAAAACCCAAGAGGTCATCCCAAAAATTATCAAGAGGGTTCTATATAGAAGACTAAAAGGTCTTCAAATAGATTATCAAAAGTTTTTCATACAGAAGTCCAAGAGTTCTTTATTGAGAATACCACGAGACCATTTTTGTTGATGCGAAACGACTCTCATTTTAATTAAACGATTATTGAGAATACCACGAGACCTTTTTTGTTGATGCGAAACGACTCTCATTTTAATTAAACGAAGGTATTCATAGGGAAGACTATTAGGTTTTTATAGAGAAAATAAAATGGCCCTGCAGGTGTAAATTTTCCACATCCCATTAACAATTCGTTCTAATATATTCATTTCTTTTTTTCAGGCACCCGCAAAAAACCCAAACCCTGTGATTTAGATCGCAACGATCGTTTCTGGGCAAATCACAAAGGCAGCCCCTTCCCCACTGTAGCCGAGGCAATACAAGAAGAACTCGAATCCTATCGCAGTTCTGAGGAGGAAATCAAACGTCTGAAAACATCAATGGGTATTGATGGCGAAGCCGAAGTGGCATTCTCAATGGTCAATGATGCGACAGCACGTCTCACCAATGCTGTCAATTCATTGCCACAATTAATGGAGAAGAAACGTCTTATCGATATGCATACAAAAATTGCAACAGCAATTTTGAATTGCATTAAATCACGACGTTTGGATTCGTTCTTCGAACTGGAAGAGAAAATAATGTCAAAGCAAACTTTAGATAAACCATTGATGGATCTATTGAAAGATCCGGAATTTGGTACACCTGAAGATAAATTGCGTTTGTTCATTATCTATTATATATGTTCGCAAAATGTTCCTGAGTTTGAGATCGAACGCCTGAAGGAAGTCTTGCAGGAGAATGGTTGTGATTTGTCATCGCTGTCGTATATACAACGCTGGAAGGCGATTATGAATCGTACACCAAGTTTAAATCAGACGGCTCAATATGAAGGTGGTGGTACGAAAACCGTGTCGATGTTCTCCAAATTGGTGTCACAAGGTTCATCGTTTGTCATGGAGGGTGTTAAGAATTTGGTCGTGAAAAAACATGTAAGTCAATGAAATAATTAACAAAAAAAGGGATACTAATTAAAATTGCTTTTGATTATAGAATCTTCCTGTAACAAAGATCACCGAACAGGTTATGGAATGCCGTAGCAATCCCGAAACCGATGATTTTCTCTATTTGGATCCGAAACTCTTAAAGGGCGGTGATGTTATGCCCAAAAATCGTGCCCCCTTCCAGGATGCTGTTGTTTTTGTTGTGGGCGGTGGTAATTATATTGAATACCAAAATCTAGTGGATTTTATACGACAAAAACAAACAGCCAATGTTAGTAAACGTATTGTCTACGGCTCATCGACACTAACAAATGCCCAACAATTTTTAAAGGAACTCTCCGCTTTGGGTCGTGAAATTCAGGGTCCAGTTTTAAGTTAGGATCATCATGTCACCGCTATGGATATATTTCATTTTAAATGCTGTTGAACAGTGAGTGTGCGAGCCAAGTGCCCAATCACAACATTAGGCAATATTTATACGAAATAAAGTTAAAAAAGAAAACAGAAGAAGAAGAAAAAAGAAACAATAAAGAAACCCTCTTCATGCTTTTAATTTAGACATTTAAACTAAATACGTTCGATGCCCTTTTCCGTTTTTTGAGTTATGTTCTTTAACTATACTATATTTAATTGAGAATGGTATATATTATATAATTATATTTTATAATTAACAACAAAAAATTATAATAAAGAAGAAAAAAAATAAATAAATTAAAAAATAAATAATTTCGAACACTAACGGAACTACAAGCGAGAATTTAAAAACAAAACGTATACCAGCATCTGTATGACCTACGAGACTGGATTTTATTAGAATATTTACAACCAACATCTGGCTTATAAGAGTGGATTTTTTAACAATATTTTTGTACCGCCAAACGACTTATAAGCCTACATTTTTAATGCCCATTTTTCAATCACAATTTCCAACCCATATCAGAGATAACTAAGGACGCTAAAGAAATTTAGTTTTTTACTTAACACTTCCTTCAAAAAAATTTGAAAAAACTGTAGTTTTTTATGGACATGCTTTGTACGCACCTTAATTACACCTCGGGTATGGAATTTAAGCAGTTTTTTTTGTTTGTATCCCTCATGTTGTTGACAATGCTGTGACACGATGTTTACAACAGCAACTTGAAATAGTCTTAGAATGTCGCTTCAGCAATGTCAGATCTTTAAAATTAAACATCACTGATCATTGTTTAGGTTTGAAAAATTAACTGCTATTTTAAAATTCCATTTTTTCAGCAAGGAATATTTTCAGAATATTTTTCAAGAGGACCCATACAAGGCGTGGATTTTTTAAAGTATATTTTTCAAGAGGACCCATACAAGGCGTGGATTTTTTAAAGAATATTTTTCAAGAGGACCCATACAAGGCGTGGATTTTTTAAAGAATATTTTTCAAGAGGACCCATACAAGGCGTGGATTTTTTAAAGAATATTTTTCAAGAGAACCCATACAAGGCGTGGATTTTTTAAAGAATATTTTTCAAGAGGACCCATACAAGGCGTGGATTTTTTAAAGAATATTTTTCAAGAGGACCCATACAAGGCGTGGATTTTTTAAAGAATATTTTTCAAGAGGACCCATACAAGGCGTGGATTTTTTAAAGAATATTTTTCAAGAGGTCCCATATAAGGCGTGGATTTTTTAAAGAATATTTTTCAAGAGAACCCATACAAGGCGTGGATTTTTTAAAGAATATTTTTCAAGAGGACCTAAATAGGACGTGGATTTTTTAAAGAATATTTTTCAAGAGCCAACTGAGGCGTGGATTTATTAAAGAATATTTTTCAAGAGCCAACTGAGGCGTGGATTTATTAAAGAATATTTTTCAAGGGCCAACTGAGGCGTGGATTTATTAAAGAATATTTTTCAAGAGCCAACTGAGGCGTGGATTTATTAAAGAATATTTTTCAAGAGCCAACTGAGGCGTGGATTTATTAAAGAATATTTTTCAAGAGGACCAATACAAGGCGTGGATTTTTTAAAGAATATTTTTCAAGAGGACCAATACAAGGCGTGGATTTTTTAAAGAATATTTTTCAAGAGGACCAATACAAGGCGTGGATTTTTTAAAGAATATTTTTCAAGAGGACCCGTACAAGGCGTGGATTTTTTAAAGAATATTTTTCAAGAGGACCCATACAAGGCGTGGATTTTTTAAAGAATATTTTTCAAGAGGACCCATACAAGGCGTGGATTTTTTAAAGAATATTTTTCAAGAGGACCATCCCTCCAAAGCCTGGATTTTTAAAAGAATATTTTTCAAGAGGACCAATACAAGGCGTGGATTTTTTAAAGAATATTTTTCAAGAGGACCAATTCAAGGCGTGGATTTTTTAAAGAATATTTTTCAAGAGGACCAATACAAGGCGTGGATTTTTTAAAGAATATTTTTCAAGAGGACCATACAAGGCGTGGATTTATTAAAGAATATTTTTTCCGAGGACCATACAAGGCGTGGATTTATTAAAGAATATTTTTTCCGAGGACCATACAAGGCGTGGATTTTTTAAAGAATATTTTTCAAGAGGACCCGTACAAGGCGTGGATTTTTTAAAGAATATTTTTCAAGAGGACCCATACAAGGCGTGGATTTTTTAAAGAATATTTTTCAAGAGGACCCATACAAGGCGTGGATTTTTTAAAGAATATTTTTCAAGAGGACCCAAACAAGGCGTGGATTTTTTAAAGAATATTTTTCAAGGCGTGGATTTTTTAAAGAATATTTTTCAAGAGGACCCATACAAGGCGTGGATTTTTTAAAGAATATTTTTTCAAGAGACCATACAAGGCGTGGATTTTTTAAAGAATATTTTTCAAGAGGACCCATACAAGGCGTGGATTTTTTAAAGAATATTTTTCAAGAGGACCCATACAAGGCGTGGATTTTTTAAAGAATATTTTTCAAGAGGACCCATACAAGGCGTGGATTTTTTAAAGAATATTTTTCAAGAGGACCCATACAAGGCGTGGATTTTTTAAAGAATATTTTTCAAGAGGACCCATACAAGGCGTGGATTTTTTAAAGAATATTTTTCAAGAGGACCCATACAAGGCGTGGATTTTTTAAAGAATATTTTTCAAGAAACCGACTACGGTCCTTCCATTTTAGTTTCTCATGTTTGATGGTCCTTCGATCTAACATAAAATATGTATAATACGTTTTTGACCTTTCGAAATCTCTTATCTGGTAAATGACATAACTGAGAACAAAAATTGCCACCTCTAGTGTTACATGTGTAGCAAAAAAAGGATTAATTTTTTTCATTTACACTTACCAAGCGATTAGCAGTTATTGCTGTGGGGACTTAAAGCGTGTTGCTGTTGTTGCAGATATTTAGACTAATTTTTGTTGTTGTTTTTGTTATGTTTACTTGTACTAGACACTAAAACAATGTGACTGACACGCAAGTGTGTGAATGTGCGTGACGTGACTAATGCAAGTTGCATTATGTGTGTGTTGTCGAGTGTGGACATTGCAACACGTAACATGGCAGCCATGACTATGTTCTTGTGCGCTGCTCTTGGAATTACGAACTATTTTCCAAGTAAATCGTTTACCTCGTCATTGAAAAACAAAAACCAAACAAAGAATGCACCAAAACTTCTCGGGTTCTCTATGGGGTCTTGAATCTTGAATGTCGCAATTATGCCCTATTTTAGCACCTTGTCAATCATTCATTCATTGGTGTCGTCCAGTCATGAAACGTTTCGATGGACGATAGCTTGATAGACGAACAAACGGATTGCGGACGGCGGACTACGATCGGTCGATCGGTAAGTACATGTGTACGACAACAAATTGTTTTGAAAACGTTTTCGCCTCAACTGTCGTCCTGTCCTGTTTGTGTCTCTGGCCCTGCTGGTTGGTCGTTGGCATAATGAATTGTTGAATTTGATGTACGTCACAAATGTGAGTGACTGACTGTTGGCTGACTGGACTGAAAGCTCGCATAAATACCAGGTGTGTAACTGTCGAATGATTTTAATGCGTGATCAACAACGGTGTGGTCAAAACTCTAGGTACCCAATAAGGATTGGTTACCAAGAGAATTCTGTTCTTCGTTTTGAATTGAGTAGGGATGGCAAGGTCATAGCGTGGCCACACAACTTGAGGGATGATCAAAGGCAAAATTTTTTTAAGAATATTTTTGAAGGAACCTGAATTGAACCTGGATTTTTTAAAAAATATATTTTAGGGACCCAGACAAGGCGTGGATTTTTTAAAGAACATTTTTTTGGCAACCAGACAAGGCGTGGATTTTTTAAAGAACATTTTTTTGGCAACCAGACAAGGCGTGGATTTTTTAAAGAACATTTTTTTGGCAACCAGACGAGACGTCGATTTTTTAAAGATTATTCTTTAGGATTATTTTTTTAAAGATTACTTTTGCGGATTACTTTTAAAGATAACTTTTGGGGACCTACACAAGGCGTGGATTTTTTAAATATTATTCAGAACACAATAAAATCCCCCTGTTCTTTGTTATGTTTGGGAATCTTTCCAATCCTATCATCAAATAACACTTTAGCAAAATATAAAGCTTGGATATTGGTATGCAAATACGTTGGATATTACAATATATATGTATGTATATACATGTAAGTGTGAATGTACTATAATACAAAACACTTTATTCAGACTTCCTTCCATTTAATAAAAAAAACCCACATTTTTATGATAAGGAAAAAATTTATCTTCATGGTTCATAAACATATATATACACAAAATGTCCATTTAATTTGTTTTTTAATTTCAGTTGTCACAAATACATCATGCGAGGCGTTTGGATAATTTTACTGATAGCCTTTTTGGGTCTACAAAATCGAAGTGAAAGTGCACCATTGACAAAGTGGTTTAAGACCGACAATGCAACATATTTTATTGAAATGGAACAGAAGGTAAATGAAAAATTAACAAAATTCAATAAAAATAATTAAAATAAAATATAATTTTTTAATATTTTGTTTTGTTGATTTTTTTGTAGTACACCTGGCAACAGTCCTTTGCCGAATGCAAATCCAAAAATCTTAAGTTAGTAACTCTGAAACAATTTAATGACGATGTCCTATTGAATGAATATCTGAAACAGGCTTTTGGTAAGTTAAAAGGGTAACATTGCAAAAAAACCTATTAATGCTCCTTCAAAAATATTTTTTAAAAAATCTACGCTAGTTAAGGGTCCTGGAAAAAATATTATTAAAAAATTGACCCTCAAAGATATTTTATTAAATGTATAGCAATTTACAACATGGCATTCACATTTGTTTTTCTCTCTATTTTTAGATCCCATTCCAGAATTTTGGCTTCGATCTGATGTGTCTGTGGATCTTAACAATATTTTACCATCGCTGACTGAGGAGTTCTTTAAAATCAAAATGGAAAATATTGAAAGTGCTGATGTTCTAAAAGCTGACGATC